CCAAACAATTTCAACTTGATTTTTCAAAGTGGACCAGTAAAAATGAATTTATTGATAAATTTATTCAAGAAGCACAATTAAATGCCAAAAATAGTTATGAAATTTTAGAATGGATACCTTATAATAAATTGTCAAATGTTAATTATTATGATAAAGGAGGATTTGGTGAAATTCATAAAGCTATCTGGTTAGATGGACCTATTTTTAGTTGGAATTTTGACAAACAACAATGGAATAGGCAATTAAGCTATGAGGTTATTCTTAAAACACTTAATAATTCATCAAATTTGAATAGTAAATTTCTGGATGAGGTATAGTATTTATAGTATTTAATAGTAAATTTATTTATTTTTTTTTTGCAAAAATTAATTTTTTTATTATTTATACAGTGGAAATATCATTATAATTGTCAGAAAAAATCATTTTCAAAATTTATTCAATTTTTTGGATGTACCCAAGATCCAAATAATTTAAATTATATAATAGTAATGAGTTATGCAAAAAAAGGAAGTTTAAGAAAATGTTTAACTGATATAATTAAATTTAAATGGCTAGAAAAATTACAATTATTGAAAAAAATTGTATTAGGGCTCAAAGTAATTCATGAATCAAATTTAACTCATGGTGATTTTCATGATGGTAATATTTTAATATCAGATAATTACAATGAGTTATTTATTATTGATTTAGGATTATGTAAACCTATAAATGATTTACAAGATTCTGACGATAAAATTAAAGAAGTTTATGGAGTTTTACCTTATATGGCACCTGAAACATTAAGACAAAAACCCTATACACTAGCAAGTGATATTTATAGTTTTTCAATGATAATGTGGGAATTTACATCAGGTATTCCTCCATTTAATCGTGTAGCACATGATCATCACCTTATTTTGAGTGTCTGTGAAGGGAAACGCCCCGAAATTGTTGAAAATACTCCAAAATGTTATATAGATTTAATGAAAAAATGTTGGGATCCAGATCCTTCCAATAGACCAACCATAACAATGCTTGAAAATATTATATCTGAATGGATTAGATGTATTAGTAAATATTTTGAATTAAACAGGGATGGAAATTATGAATGGGAAGTACCTAATATTGATAATAAATTAAAGAATGATATGTTTGAATTTATAGAAGCAAACAAAATTTTAGTACAAGAGCAAGCAAGTGCTTCTATTATACAATCTCATACACAAGCATATTATACAAGTCGTAAACTTACTGAAATCTTAGTTCAAGAAAAGTCCGATTGTTTTGAATGTATAGTTAAAATTTAATAATTCTATTATTGTTGGACTATTTGTCAGTTATTATATTTCAATTTTTACTATAAAATAAATAAATCTTTATTATGATTTTTATTTTTATTTGTGATAAACCATATTTATTGTAAACTAGAGATTCTAATGTGTGGTGACTTCGTCACTGCTAATTGATCTGCTTAAATTGAAATGTATTATATAATAATGTATAATAGTGTAATATTAATTTTATTATTCTTATTAACTTATCTATAAAAGAGATGTCCTTAAAGAAGATACTTTCAATTGACATATGAAATCTATTGGATCAAAGATTTTATAAGGTATTATAATGGATGAAAATGTATTCATTTATTTTATTTTTAAATTATTTGTTGTTATTGTCTATTCTTATTACATATTATTTTTATTTTATTATTTAACAAAATAAATAAAATGTGAGATAATTTGGGATAAAAAATAAAAATCTATAATATACTAAAAAAATTACTTAACGTTTAGATTAGCCTGTATAAATAATTTTGAATTGTCTAACACATGATTTGTCTGCGCCTGTACTAATCCGTATTCATGATCAGCAAATCCATACTGATTACTAATATGAAATATTTTAAATTATTTTTTAGTTTCCGATAATTGAAGCTTTGCTAATAAATTGTAAAATTTTTAAAATCAATATCGCTCTTCTTTTTACGATTAGTAATTTTTTTATTTTTATTTTTTTTAACCATAATAGATTAACTTCAGGATTTTTTTTTCGTTTAATTTTTTTATTTTTTTAAAATTTTTTTTTTTTAACAACAGATCAGATTTTTTTCTTCATTAGAAATAAAAATTTGTTTTCAAACAATAGATCGGACTTTGCCCTTTCTTTATGTTAAAAAATAAATATAAACTAACAATTAAAAATTACATTATTATAGAATTGCCCATTCAACCTTACTATTTTGAAATTTATTATATTATTAACTAGGGAAGAATCAGGAGTCAAGTTGGCACACTCTTCAATTAATTATATTAATAAATATATTACAAAAAAAAAATTTTTTTCATCATAAAATACGATCAATTGTAAAAAAAATTTTTATTAAAAAAAATTCATTAATTAAATGTCAGCAAAAAAAAAAATATTTCCTATAATTACAATGGCCAATGAATTATTTATTATTATTAAAAAAAATTGACATTAATTATCTACTATACCTTATTAGCATTATTTATTACAGTATTAGTAATCAGCCCGGAATGTGCTGATCATGTTGATTGATCAAATTGTCCATGTCTCCGGTCCAAAATTCTAATTAAAAAATTATGGAATAGATCAGGCGCAGGCATCACATGCCGCTCCAATTCAAAATTAATTTATTATTAAAAAGATCATCTTTAATGTTGCCATTTTCAAAATGGTTGAAATTAATGTCGATTATGTAACACAAAAAAAATTTTCATATGCGAAAAAAAATTTTCGTTTCTTTATAACTTTAGGTCAAAATTTTTCATTGTAACACTATATTTTTTTTAATAAATATGCATAAAAAACTTGAGATTTTGTAATCTCGTATTGCATGATATACATTACACATTTTTTTGTTTTTCAATATACTTTTTTGTATTTTTTTGTGTTTTTGATCATTATCTTGCAGATCATCAATTTCAATTATTTTGAAAACGGCAAATATAAAAAAAAAATTGCTAAGTTTTAAAGTTATAGTATGATTATTTTATTTTTTTTTTTTAGTTTAAAAAATCGGTGAATTACTTTATTAATTAAACGTAATAAGAAAAATTCTGGAAATATATGTTAAAAAAAATAAGTAATATTGTGTATATAAACATACCTCTTTTATTACTATTACTATTATTATTTTTATTATTATTCAAGGAGGTAGGATTGTCATCTATATTTTCATCATCAATGTTTAATTCATTATTTGGTTCTACTAGTTCATTGTTTGAATGTGACAGTTCTTTATTATTAGAATCTGTAGCTTGAACATCTGATGAAATATTTGTGAGATTTTTGTTATTAGCCATTGATTGTGCTGATAATCTTCTTGAAGACGTAGTTGACCAAGAATATAGAGAAGATATTGAATTATCTGTTGAGCTTCCAATATTATTAGTATTCGTCATAGTGATAAAATTTATATCTTGAATTTCAACTTGGAATTCAGAATTAACTAAAATCATTTCTCCCAATATCATAACATTTGAATTTTTTCTGATTTTCTTTGCCTTATTATCAATTCATTCATCTGTCTTTAAATATCTACATTTAATATTAAATTTCTCACCAACACTCTTTCTTCCAACAAATTCAGTGATAGTAAGCTTAATACTTTTAAATAAATCATCATCACTTTGTACTTGTGTTGAAACGTAACCTATAAGAAAAACTGAAATTGAAGATCATCTTTCAAAAGATCCAAATGATCACCCACATTAGCTGTTACCTAATTATTTTTAATTTTTTTTTTTTTATTAAAATAAATAAAAATTATATTTATTTATTATCATAATAAATATTTTTTTTTTATTTAAATAATTTAATTTGAAAGTTTATGAATTACCTCTAAATATCATTATGAAGGGGTTCTTCGCAAAAAGCAAATTTTCCTGTAAATCTAAGTACATCACCAGACATAAAATCTGAAATCTACTTTGGAACTGAAGGATTTTTTGGAAAAAAAGCAATTACTTTTAGGTTCATTGTTGTATTACTATCTTCTTTTCTCACAACTAACAATAGCTTCTTTCACAATAAAATTATTACTATCACGTTCAACAACTGAGTGAATTACACAGATAAAGGTGAGCTTTGCTGGCATAGTATTTATCATTATTATTTTTAATTATTATTATAATTAAAAAAAAATGAAAATTTATTTTTTTTTTATGGTATTGATTTTTAAAAAAGATATTTGTATAAGTGTTATTAATTAAAAATAAAATCACTATTTTTTAATTTTTATAAGGAAATAATTTTATATAATAATTATTATCATTATTTATCATACAACAAAAAAATTCTTATTATATTGTTTTTTTTTTATTATATATATTAGTAATAAAAAACGAAAGTGAATGGTAATTATTACGAAACTTATCAAAATTTTTCATATTATCATATTATCCCTTAAATGATAGCTATTGTTCTAAATTCCGCGGAATTTTCAGGATTTCCGCAGAGGATTCCATGGAATTTCATTGTATTACAGTTTAGATCGTAGTGGTAAATCGCAGCCAAATTTAGCTGCAAAACACTTTAAGGGATAAATGTTTATTATAATTATCATTATCATATAATTACTAATTATTTATGTCTATCATAATTAAAACACTAAAAGATTTGTTGGTTGCCGATCGTACTAAAATAGAAAAGCTTGATTTGAAATGTATTTATATAATCAGCAAATCAATACCAAAGATGGGGGATCAGCATCTTAAAATGGAAATCACTCAAAAACTAATCTTATGTTAACGTTAAGTTAACGTTAACCTATCATGACANTTTCCACTTAATTTTGGTCACTTGGAAACTGCGCCACAAAAATCAAGGAAAAAAAGGCCGATATTTATGGTTTTTTTTTATCGCGCAGCAGAAAATTTTACTGATTTTTAATTGGCCTTTTCCCGGGTTTATATGTATATATATGCATCACATGCATCGCATTAAATAAAAAACGCCAACAATGACATCATAGTCACACCTAGAAGAGTATTACACCAATTGGATAAAGGAATTATTGGATGTCAGGAAAATCCATTATGATCCTCATGACCTCAAGATTCTTCCAAAGACTATCGGCTTTGGAGGATCTGCTTCTGTTTATGCTGCAAAATGGAAGGATACATCAACAATATATGCGATTAAAAAATTTGTCGAGAATAAAGAGGTATGTTACTGATAGCAATTCGTTATAAAGAATTAAAATATTAAAATTTCATTTTCTTTCTAGGTTTATTTAACGGATTTGGCTAATTCTCATGAAAATATAATTCAATTTCGTGGAATTACGAAATTAGAAGGTAAAATACCGATTTCGTATCATTAATACTTCTATTTGAGTATTTGCTTAGTTGACATGATTTCAATAGATGGAAAAAAATACTCGCTTGTCCTTGAATATGCAGACGGTGGAACACTAAGAAGTTATTTAAGGAACAACACTATTACTTTTAATTGGGAGAACCAATTAAAGTTTGCTAAAGAAATTGCGAGTGCGATTTTATGGTTACACGATGTTAAGGAAATCATACACGGCGATCTTGTAAGTAGCACATTCCTCAATTTACGTATATAGCGGGAACTAATGCATTATATCGTTGTGATTATGTGATTAACATATTCTTTTTTTTTTAGCACCCCAACAATATCTTAATACATAAAGATACGATAAAATTAGCAGATTTTGGACGTTCATGTATAAAAGGATCCGACATTAACACTGGAACATATGGCCTAATACCTTACATGGATCCTAAATTTTTTGAGACTAATTCATATCGTCTAACCGAAAAATCTGATATATACAGCTTGGGAGTATTATATTGGGAGTTAACAAGTCGAAAATCACCTTTCGATTTTGAAAAAAAATCAAGTGACGATCATCTTTCTATTATAACAAATATTCTTAAGCTTCTAAGAGAAGAACCTATTGAGGATACAAATGATAAATTCGTCGTACTTTATAAAAGTAAGTATAAAATAATGTAAATTTGTCTTCTATTATATTTTTACAATTATTTTTTAATTTATTTAAATAGAATGTTGGGAACATGAGCCAGATAATAGACCGAATATTCTTAAAGTGATTTCAGAACTTAATTGTATTGACCCTGAAAACAATAATGTATCAATTATCCCAGAAGAAAGCGAAGAAAGTGAAAAAACAGCGAATGTATATTCTTGTCAGATTGCGATTAAATAAGCTTTTTTTATTACTCTTTTTTAGATTTTTTTTCGTTATTATTGTGTTTTTCCATTAAAATAGAGTATTATTTTTCTTTCTATCTTAAAATTTTTTATATGAATTTTTTTTTTGTAAAATATTTTTTTGATATTTGAGATATTAATAAACAGATTTTGCAATTGTCCTATAAACGTACACGCATTTGTGGTACAGACCCATAATATTAATCTATTACATGATGGACTAACTTTCTAAGGTTATGATCCCGCATTTTTATCTGTCAGACGATTAATCTACAGATAATTATACCGCCCCGTTAATATGACATTCTGTGCGACATGAAGTATTTGTTTTAAGGATTAACTAAAATATACCTTTCTTGGTTTATAAACGTTAATGTCAATAATTTCATGCTAAAACAGCCATTATTACGACGATAAGTACGTATTAATAAATGACCATATAAGATAGAATTTCACTTGTGTATACTTTCATTAAAAAAAAGAAACCGAACTGAATGAAACTCTCGCAAATCTTGTTTCATATCAAGAATATTAAGAAGCTTCGATAACAGTTTCTTTTACTTTTGCAGATCATTCAGGAATTGTTTTTTTCAATTATGTTTTCGCTTTGTTCTATGCTTTCTCATTATCGTGAAATGCCTTATTAAATTCATCCATCGTAATGTTATAAATTAATTATTTGGACCAAAATTCTGGTCAGAGTAATATAATGTAATGCGGGCCAGAAGTATAGCAATTGAGGTCACGTGTTCCCAAGTTCGAAGCTTTAATACCAATTTTTTTTTTTTATTTTTGATTGACGAAATTAGGTTGAGTAGAATAAAATAGATACAATTTATAGGTAAAAAAAAATTTTTTGATACTTTTCAGTATTAACTGGTTAATTAACCGATTAATTAACCAGTTTATAACCTCTAGATCATATGATTCATATTATCTTAGATAGTTATTTTATCATTATATTATAGATGTGTATAAGAGACAGCTATTTATCATAATAATTATGATACTGTATGGTAGTATAAACCAACTTAATTAAAAAAAAAGTCAGAATTATTACAGTTCTAATTATACTATGACTATAGCTCCCTGCCATGTTTAATGTTAACTTGTTTTATTACGTATTATGTTGATCATTTTTTTCATCGCAAAACAAAATAATTTGCACTTTAAATAGTGTTTTTAATTAAAAGTATTTTATTTCCTTTTTTTAATCATATTAAATAAAAAAATAGTAAAAAATATTAATATTAATATTAATTTAATAATTAATAATTATATTGTACCAATGTTTACCAAAACGTAGTATATCACTATTTTAGTATTGGTAAATCATATTTACGGAAACACATTTTTTTATTTATTTTTATTATTAATTAATCAACTAAATAATAATGAAAATATAATTATTGTTTTATTTTTTTATACATATTATATTACTAATAATTTATTAATAATCATAAATTAATTAAATAATAAGAAAAAAATTATATTATTTAATATTTTTTTAATTAAATAGTAAAATCCACACGTATATAAACAACCTTTATTCGCAAAAAAAATAGCAAAACAGATTATAAAACAGATTATAAAACATATTATAAAACAGAATAAAAAATAGAATAGAAAACATAATAGAAAACATATATAATATATATATATATATATATATATATAATCATAAAAGGAGATTTTTTTTGAAAAAGGAAATCATAATATGAAAAAATACATTTTTAAGGTAACACAATTTTCTATCTGACCGTCCTTTATTATAGTAACATTTCTAATTAATATCAACTCCCTCTATTTAATACATACAGAAAGTCTGAGTCTCCAACCCTGTAAAAAATCTGATCCGTGTTTTATCTTTCCATGTTTTTTCAGTAAATGTATCATTTTCATGGAATTTATAGCCTTAAATCATGGAAATTTTCATCTCGCTAACATGGATATCCGTGAATGTATCATTTTCACGGAATTTTTACGGAAGACACGGAGAAATAATGGAAATGTTCGGATAAAAATTTTTTATAGGGCAAGAGGCAACGTTCCATAAAAAAGGAGAGGTCCTAGCATCCTACAGGTCATCCTAAAAGAAAAGAAATCAAACTGCCCTGCAAAAAAAAGAGGGAAACCCAAAAAATCCTACAAAAAAAATAAAATAAAAATAAAAATTATTATAAAAAAATTTTTTTAAAAAAAAATTTCTAAAAAAGGGGGAAGACGAGGTGTAAATAAATGAGAAAAAATTTTATTAAAAAAAACCAAAGGGGACGAAGTGATAACGAAGTGGAATAAAAAAAAAATGATGAGAAAAAGGGGATAATAAAAAAATGATCGGTGATCTAAATAAATAAAAAAACGTATCACAAATCTTGAGGTAAAGATTCTATTAGATAAGCTTTTAAAAAGAAAAAAAAAAAATAGTGATAACCAATTTAATAACACAGAAAATGTAACTCCATCAGGAAATTTTTTCGCTTAAAATCCAAACGTGGAAATCTGCATGGTATTTTCGGCGTAGATCCGATGTGAATCCCTTCTCTTCTCTAAAATTGAGTGGTACCGAATATTTCCGATTTTACCGAAAATTTCCAAAATTTTTAAGTGTTTAAATGTCATATTTGTTTAAATTATTCCCTCCCTCCCCCTCAAATTTTTGAAACAGAAAGGACGTTAAATCAGTATTTAGTTTAAAATGGCTTTAATATGAAAAATAAAACAATGGAAGATATCTTTCTAATTTCTTTATTCTAACTAATTGAATATATAGAAATAAAAAGGAATAATAATGAATTTTTTACTTGCATCTTATTATAACTTTAAAACGAAAGGTTTCTACTATTACGTTATTATCAATAATATCAATAACATCCATATTTATAATCTTCTTTGATAAAACTGGAATTTTAAAACTGAATTTTTAATATTTTCCATTCCGGTTTTTTATTTACTTTGGTATATTATTATTTATTTCATCTTTGGAATTTCAGGAAATGATCCAGTTTGCCAATCGGAAAATTGACTTCAGGAAATTGACATTCGGGAAAATGACGATCAGATCAATCGTCGGCCCCTTTTATTTTTTAATAATTATAAATTTAATTTAAATTTCTTTCTGGATCGGAACAAATATATTTTGTATGATTTTTTAGTTAGAATAAGTAAATTTTTTAACTTAAAAAAGAAACTTTATTTGTTTTAAATTAAAAATTTATATTATATAAATAATTTTTTTTAAAATAATTAGTATAAATAATACTTATTTTAATATTGTTCTGCAGCGCAAAAGGCTACAGTTAGTAATTTTATAAAAAAAAATTCAATAAATGAGAAATAGAAAATGCTTTGTAAAATTGCATTTAGATATAAGAGAATTTATACTATTTAAAAATTTAAACTCATAATTATTAATGTTCATAAATTTATTACAGCATAATATTAATATCTCATTATAAAGAGAATGTCAAGCGAATCACTGGATTGCATGGTTTGGATGATCCGAACCTGAATTCACATGACTGCGCTAAAAAATTGACTCATAAAGATCATGATCTTTTGTTCACAAAATCATAGCTTCTTATTTTGTACAAATAATATGATTCAAATTATTTATTTCACACGAAAAGAAAAAATATAATATTAAATGTAAATTAAAAGACTTTACATGACTTGCAAAAAACACGATTCTTTATACTACAAATAATACATACTGTATATCAGCATCTATGTATTGAGTAATAAATTATATTTAAAGAAATTTGATAATTAATGAAAAAAAACATTCAAGTATATTTTAAAAATATATATATATATATATATTTTTTAGTGGCTTAAGTTACATAAATACTATTTTTTTTTAAAAAAAACATTATGATTTATGAAACTTACATTTTTGGATTACAAAATGGCGGACAACATGAAATTTGAATTAGAATATTTTGAGTTATTCTAATTGTGTTTAAGAATAATTTAAGGAGATTAACATTGCATGTCGATATTAAACACAATTTCTTTTTATTTTATTTTATTAACAATAGGTTTAAATTAAAATCAGTTTATAATATATTTTGTTATAGCTACGAAAAATAAATTTATTCTATAACAAATGTTTCTATAGGTGCCGTAATCTTCTCCCACAACTATAAACGAAAATCATATAACTAAGAAACAACGCGCATCAAATATTTTGACGGAACAAAGTTAGTCAGATATTTATAAATATCTTTGACGTACATTTATACCGGTATTAACGTAGATCATTTAACTCAATCGTACTACATGACTTTCTGAAATACCGTCTGGATAAGAAATATTTTGAAGTGAAATATAATACCTAAACGCTTTCAACTATAGTTTATCATACTAAGCATATGAAGTTTAAATTTCTTAGTTGAAGAGGGTATTAAATTTTTTTTTAAGAAAATAAAAATTTAAAACAATGATAATATTTTTTAATTGATCGAATTTGTTTTGTCACACTAAGAATTTAAATATAATGAAAAAATGGGATTTTATGTAAATAAATTTTGAGTTAAACGTATTTTAAAAAAAAAATACCAAAAATATAAGTACTTAAGACTATAATTATTATAAGGTGAATATGCGAGTTACAGCCTGGCTGCATAAACTGCATTTGTACGTTACATCTCTCCCTTTACACTACATTTGATACATGAGTACAGGATATTGCTTAAGTTTAACTCCGAAAATTGTATAAATAGGAATCGAACTGATAGTTTTGACCTTTCGCTCGCTTCTTTCATTATGCTTTTAAGTTAAGACTCTAAAAACTTTTGGTCGTTTGTTCGCTTGAAGTTCCAAAAACATAACTATTGCCCAACGTCACTTTGGAGACAATTTATCCCCTTCAGTTTCAACTCTTGCTTTCATAAAAAGAGCGTTAAGAAATACATTCACTTTTTCCACTTAATTTTGGTCACTTGGAAACTGCGCCACAAAAATCAAGGAAAAAAAGGCCGATATTTATGGTTTTTTTTTATCGCGCAGCAGAAAATTTTACTGATTTTTAATTGGCCTTTTCCCGGGTTTATATGTATATATATGCATCACATGCATCGCATTAAATAAAAAACGCCAACAATGACATCATAGTCACACCTAGAAGAGTATTACACCAATTGGATAAAGGAATTATTGGATGTCAGGAAAATCCATTATGATCCTCATGACCTCAAGATTCTTCCAAAGACTATCGGCTTTGGAGGATCTGCTTCTGTTTATGCTGCAAAATGGAAGGATACATCAACAATATATGCGATTAAAAAATTTGTCGAGAATAAAGAGGTATGTTACTGATAGCAATTCGTTATAAAGAATTAAAATATTAAAATTTCATTTTCTTTCTAGGTTTATTTAACGGATTTGGCTAATTCTCATGAAAATATAATTCAATTTCGTGGAATTACGAAATTAGAAGGTAAAATACCGATTTCGTATCATTAATACTTCTATTTGAGTATTTGCTTAGTTGACATGATTTCAATAGATGGAAAAAAATACTCGCTTGTCCTTGAATATGCAGACGGTGGAACACTAAGAAGTTATTTAAGGAACAACACTATTACTTTTAATTGGGAGAACCAATTAAAGTTTGCTAAAGAAATTGCGAGTGCGATTTTATGGTTACACGATGTTAAGGAAATCATACACGGCGATCTTGTAAGTAGCACATTCCTCAATTTACGTATATAGCGGGAACTAATGCATTATATCGTTGTGATTATGTGATTAACATATTCTTTTTTTTTTAGCACCCCAACAATATCTTAATACATAAAGATACGATAAAATTAGCAGATTTTGGACGTTCATGTATAAAAGGATCCGACATTAACACTGGAACATATGGCCTAATACCTTACATGGATCCTAAATTTTTTGAGACTAATTCATATCGTCTAACCGAAAAATCTGATATATACAGCTTGGGAGTATTATATTGGGAGTTAACAAGTCGAAAATCACCTTTCGATTTTGAAAAAAAATCAAGTGACGATCATCTTTCTATTATAACAAATATTCTTAAGCTTCTAAGAGAAGAACCTATTGAGGATACAAATGATAAATTCGTCGTACTTTATAAAAGTAAGTATAAAATAATGTAAATTTGTCTTCTATTATATTTTTACAATTATTTTTTAATTTATTTAAATAGAATGTTGGGAACATGAGCCAGATAATAGACCGAATATTCTTAAAGTGATTTCAGAACTTAATTGTATTGACCCTGAAAACAATAATGTATCAATTATCCCAGAAGAAAGCGAAGAAAGTGAAAAAACAGCGAATGTATATTCTTGTCAGATTGCGATTAAATAAGCTTTTTTTATTACTCTTTTTTAGATTTTTTTTCGTTATTATTGTGTTTTTCCATTAAAATAGAGTATTATTTTTCTTTCTATCTTAAAATTTTTTATATGAATTTTTTTTTTGTAAAATATTTTTTTGATATTTGAGATATTAATAAACAGATTTTGCAATTGTCCTATAAACGTACACGCATTTGTGGTACAGACCCATAATATTAATCTATTACATGATGGACTAACTTTCTAAGGTTATGATCCCGCATTTTTATCTGTCAGACGATTAATCTACAGATAATTATACCGCCCCGTTAATATGACATTCTGTGCGACATGAAGTATTTGTTTTAAGGATTAACTAAAATATACCTTTCTTGGTTTATAAACGTTAATGTCAATAATTTCATGCTAAAACAGCCATTATTACGACGATAAGTACGTATTAATAAATGACCATATAAGATAGAATTTCACTTGTGTATACTTTCATTAAAAAAAAGAAACCGAACTGAATGAAACTCTCGCAAATCTTGTTTCATATCAAGAATATTAAGAAGCTTCGATAACAGTTTCTTTTACTTTTGCAGATCATTCAGGAATTGTTTTTTTCAATTATGTTTTCGCTTTGTTCTATGCTTTCTCATTATCGTGAAATGCCTTATTAAATTCATCCATCGTAATGTTATAAATTAATTATTTGGACCAAAATTCTGGTCAGAGTAATATAATGTAATGCGGGCCAGAAGTATAGCAATTGAGGTCACGTGTTCCCAAGTTCGAAGCTTTAATACCAATTTTTTTTTTTTATTTTTGATTGACGAAATTAGGTTGAGTAGAATAAAATAGATACAATTTATAGGTAAAAAAAAATTTTTTGATACTTTTCAGTATTAACTGGTTAATTAACCGATTAATTAACCAGTTTATAACCTCTAGATCATATGATTCATATTATCTTAGATAGTTATTTTATCATTATATTATTTTAGTTAGAATTTATAGTTTTTTCTCAATTACTGTTAGCAGATGGATGATCATGATTAGTGGGTAAGTCTATTGGTCTATTGGTGCAAGACAACTTGTCACCTAGACAAATTGATCTATCGACAAGCCGTCACTTGGGGTTTGCCGAGTGAGGAAGTAGTTGATTTCCTTGATACCCTTATTTAAATGCGCAAATCATTATTTTTTGATCGTAAACTACTCTTTATTAATTCGAATTGGTGGTAATACTTACATATAAGTCACATAATTCAATTGATTCACGTAACTCATTTAAAAAATTTTTCGACTCTTTGGCCTTAGTTAATTAGTTACACAAAGTTAAACGTTTATACGCGTTTATAAGTAAAGATGCAGGCAAAAAAAGAATTTTTAATATATATATATTCGTTTTATTATATAAGTCATTTAGAAAACTATTTAAAAAAGATGTAAAATTCTATCTCAACAAGGATAGTTTGAATTATATCACATTGTAGTTTTTTAGCTTTATACAGAATTGAAATGGAATTTTTTTAATTATCCATATAATGTTCTCAGGAAAAACTGTTATTTACAATTTTTTTAACAATTTATTGATACTAATGTTTCCACTGACTTGCTTTCTTTAGATTAGATACCATTTTCTACTCCAAAGATTTTATATTCTTTATTATTTAACTATTAATTATTATTCGTTGTTTGGTTATTTAAGGTCACATAATTTTACAAATTTACCCAATTATCTAATAGGATTACTACATGATAAGGAAATTATCAGGAAAAAAATCAATTAACAAAAAGCTATACAGAACATGACTGCGGGACAATAGAATCACGTGCTAACGGCCTGATAATTTAAAGTGGGTAATATATCAATATATCCATGGGTCTCTTGTTATTCATTAATTTACGAATGTATTTCGTAAAGTCGTACATTCGATAAAATATATCATAATCAGACTAAAAAAAAGCAAAATGGTGGTCATGCAATCAAGTTAGATGAACAATGGAAATGACTTTACAATATCTATATGGTTCTACAAAAATGGAAGCCATAAATTAATGAATAAGCAAAAAAAAGTTTATCTTCACCAATAGCTAGTTTACATTTTAGTTGGAAACATATGACATAATTGATATATAGTATAATCGATAACATATATCTATAGGGGAGGTAATTGTCGGCTTTGGTCTCAAGATAATAGATGATTACAATTTCTGATTAGTCACAACTCACAAGTGCAGTGTGATAAAAAATCTGCTTTTTGTATAATAAATGCAACAAATCCTTACATGAATAATTAAGCATTCATTTTTTGTCAGTCTGATTTTCTAAGGAAAGTATTTGCTCATAGTAAATACTTACTGCTACAAGGTTTCCACGATGGTAAAATCTTGAACGAAATTAACTCTGACAATGGTGTGGCAGATTAAAATTTTACAGATAAAACGCCATGTTTGCTTCTTGTATCAGTAGTTAACGACGGTGGTGAGTTCACTAAAACAGCTAATATTTACTGCTTTGGAATGTTGGTTACAGAAGTGATAGAAGTGATCGGTAGTACGCCACCTTTTGTTGTGATGAGAACTTTTGCTTTTGCTATTGCTAAGGTTAACATCTACAAATTCCAGAATATACACCTGAAGCATACGCTGCATTAATAAACATTGTTGAGATATTTTCCTCAGTTTAAGTGTTTATGGAACGTTTTGAATGACAGTTTAGTGGGGATCGTAAGATAGAAATTAAAGAAACATTTAATCGGCACGTTTAGCAAAATTTGTTACAATTTTATATTTCTGAAAAAAAAGTGCGGAACTTGTTCTCCGATAAACAACTTGATTACTTCAAATGCATCTCTCAATAACCCAATATAGAAGTTAATTGGATGGGGAATAGAGATATCGGCCGAAGACCGACATCACCTATCATTATAATATGAAAGTATTGCGGTGATCAATGCAATTAATACAGTTTTCAATATTGGAAGTCTCTCGGTTATTAAAATTCCGCATATTCCTAATCGATTGTACAATGACTAATTAAGATCTACGCAAGGATTTATAAGATTACTAAATATAGTAAATACTTTAATTTTAGTGGAGATGACGTATACATTCTTAACTATATTTGTAATAAAATGTTTCTAGTATCATCGTATTATCATCGTATTAAAAATTTTGTGACGCAATATTGATATCGTACTTTTTTCACCGCTAAAAAAGCGATATGGAAATAAAATGCAAAATAATAAAATTAATTATGAACTTGTTATATTTAATAGGAAATATAATAATAATAAAGAAAAAAAAAAGAAACACTTTTTTAAATTGTATAATTAATTTAATACTCAAAAAAAAAAAATAAATAAAGAGATTATCAATACATAATTTTCGTTCTTTATATTATTTTATGTACATATAATGAATAAAAATTTCTATTAAGAAAAAAAAGAACATTTCATTAATTTATGTACTATGTAAAATCTTTTTTTTTCTTTTTTTCTTAATAGAATTTTTTTTTTTATTATATTTGTTCTATTTACATACTAAATATATAATAATTTATATATAATCTTTTTTTTTCTTTTTTTCTTAATAGAATTTTTTTTTTTTTCATTATAATTATTTAAACAAAATAATATAATATATAATAACTTTATCAAATATATCTAATTAATAAATAAACAAGTAACAATTTTTTTTTTGTGTGATCATTACAATTGTTCATTCATGTCGAACAAAAGGGAAAATTGTTACGGAAAGTTGATCACAAAAAAAGCTTACACAAAACTAACTAAAATCATTTGTACTTTTGTTACCCTTTTTATTTATATTTGTAGATCTTCTCACGTAAACGGAGACTTTTCAACCTTGATTACTAATCTATTTCGGACTAGAATGTTCCTTTTGAATATTAATTTTATTAAAAAAAATTCTTTACGGAATTAACCAAAACTTAAATTTTTCTAAAAAGGATTTTTTTATTATTATTATTAAAGCTTTACTATTTATGCGCAGTAATTCGGTTTTTTTTTTAAATTATATATTTAATAGACAGACACCGATTTTTTGAAAACGAAATTATTAAAATATTTTTTTTTTTTTAAATTATTTATTTTTAGAAAATGATAAATTTAATCGACGTGGAAGAAAAAGAACCATTACTTAATGGTTGTCAATATATAAGAACAAGAAAATGTCCTTCAAAAAGAATTGAAAAAAGATTATTAAATAATTATAAAGAATTTTGTTTTAAAGAATTTTCAAATAATATTACTTCTTCTCCTATAGAAGAATGTCAAATTGAAATTAGAAGACAAGTTTATTATCTTAAAGAATTAAAAAAATCCGATCATATTATAAAATTTTTTGGTGTTGCTCAAGATAATTATAAATTTTATTTAGTTACTGAATGGATGGAAAATGGAAATTTATATGAATATTATACAAAATTTAGATATAATATTAATTGGGAAACAAAAATTAAAATAGCTTTGGATGTTTGTTGTGGTATTGCTTATCTTCATAAACATAAAGTAAGTGAAAAAAAAAAATAATAATAATTAAATATAATGTAATATAATATAATATGATATAATATAATATTCTTTTTTTATGATTATTTAATTTTTTTGTTCTTTTATATAAATATATATATTAGATTCTTCATCATAATGTTCAATCGGCAAATGTTTTAGTAAATGGGAATAATAAAGTTAAATTAGCAAATTTTGGTCTAAGTAGGAAATTTTCCGATATTACAAGGAATATTTCTCATAATTTAGAAAATGTAAGATATATGGCCCCAGAAAAATTAGAAAATTGTGAGAAAAAGAAAAAGGTTCAATATGATACTAAATGCGAAATATATAGGTAAGGTATTATTTATATATAATGTATAATGTATTCATGAAAAAACATATATATTTATATATTTATATTATTGTTATTATTTGTGTAGTGTTGGAGCATTATTATGGGAAATTGCTGAATTGAAAAAACCTCATTCCGATATTGATAGGTCGGAAATCCTTGTTAATATTAGAACACGTATTAGAAATAGATATCGTTTACCATTCTCATATGAAGTACCTATGGAATGGATTTATATTGTATCTAGAGGTAATTTATATTTAATTCATTTACAATAATTTTAATTTTTATCAAATTAATTTCTTTCCCTTTTCATTTTTTTTTTTTAGCCATGGAATATGAACCAGAATATCGTATTAGTATATCAGATATTTGTCGTGATTTATATAAATTGAGTAGAAAATTATCGAATGCTAAATCTATATCACTTTCTTATGTTGATCCAAATTCTGGTTTCTTACCATATAATAATGTTAGAGTTTCAACTTTAAATGATTATTATCGTTATAATAGAATTCTCTCTGTTGATGATGCAATTCATGAACATAAATCAAAAAATGGAAATAAACAATTGGCATGGCAAAGTTTTAAATATCATTCAACTAATAACGATTTGGCAAAATATATGGTAGGTTATTATTATTATCATGGTGAAGAAATACCTGAATTACAGCAATTGAGTAAAAAAGAAAAGTTTAAAATTGCTGCAAGTATATTTGAAGAAACTGCTGATAAAGGAAATCCTTCTGCTCAATTAAGATATGGAATATGTTTATGGAAAGGTGAAGGTGTTGATGCAAATTCTGATAAAGCTCTAAAATATTTAAAAATGGCTGCTAATTCAGGAAATTCTGCTGCCATGTTTATTATTGGAAAAGCTTATTGGAATGGTGGTAATGGTATTGAACAAGATAAAAATCAAGGTGCTGAATATTTAAAAATTGCTGCTTTAAATAATCATCCATCAGCAAAAGATGTTTGTTATTCTAATAATATTATTTTTTAAAAAAAAAATTTTTTATTTAACAATATATATGTAAATAATATATACTATAAGTATTTATTTATTCACTTGATATTTATTTATGAATAAAGAATGAATTATTTATATTTATAAATGAACTTAAAAAAATTTTTTCTTGCTAAATGTAATTTTCCAAATGATATTTTTTATTTTCCTTATAACTAATTATAAATTGCAAAGATTACCATCAATACAAAATACTAATACTTTGATTTCTCACAAAATACTTTAAGCTGTTGAGGTATAGATACTCATTTCTGCCACCTTGTCCTCATCATCTGTTTTAGGTATAAATTCTTCAGAAACTTTCACTCTCTTGTAAAGTGGAGTGGGTAAGTCCGTTGGGTAGTCAATATTTTCTACTTTTGCTGACTTTGTTCCTATTTCAGACTTTTGTCGGGAGAATTCTTCTTTCACTGCAATTTTTATGATGTCACTTAAAACTACTTGTGGTTCTTCATACTTACGCTTTCTTGTTACTTATGAGTTATGACAAAAAAAAACAACAATATAGTCAGGATATATTTAGCATTGTTTTACGCTTTCGCCAAACTCTTCGTAATGTTTACCTTGCTCTTCTTCGCCCTTAAGCGTTTTAATTAACCCTACAATTGCTTTAGCTGGTCCAAGAGCTAATCCAATTTTTTCAAGATCATATTGTGTTAAATCAAGGAGGACTTGACCTGTAAATTTAGCACTCTTGATTGTATTAATATCTTGTTTGTCAAGGTCTAACTCTTTTTTATTCTTCAAATAGTTAATAAGATCGTTACGATTCAACTTTTCGATTTCTTCAACAGTTTCAATATATGAAGTATAATCCACAGTTGGGACTTCAGTCAATGATGGTTCTTCAGGATTTTCTTTAACGTTTGATGGACCTGTAGATATTAATTATTAACTGATAACGAGTGTTAATCAAATGAAATTAATAAGATTTATTTACTTTTTGAGGATTTTTTCTTGGACTTTTTTGATTTTTTTGATGAAACGGTTTCAGTACTTTTACCAACATCTATAGGATCTATTTGTCAATTGAAATGAGTAATTGCCTAACATATAATTATGAAAGGATGTTTACTTCTAAAAAAAAAAAATATAATATAATATAAACTTTTATCTATTTACCTGTTTGCTTTGATGAAGATGAGTGTTTTGACTTTTCTGTAAACATACCAACATAAGACCAACATAAAGTGAGCTATAAATTGACTTTTAAACAGAACAATATAATAAACTACCTTTTGTTGAAGATTTCTTCTTGGACGACTTTTTTGATTTTGATGAAATATTTTCATCAGTTTCAACACTATCTGTTGAAACTACTTTTATTGATAAAAATTAGCAGTTGTTTCTAAAAGAAAAGAAAAAAAAAAGTCGTTTATAAATAAAATATACTATTTTTACCTGTTGATGATTTTCCTTCAGACATTTCTTCAAATTTTGGAGTAGATACTTCCATACCGATATCAGTATCTTCCTCGACAACTATTTTTTTTTATCGATGATAATAAGTTCAATACTATATTTTATAAATAAATAAAATAAAACTTTACCTCTTGAAGATTTTTTCTTATTTGATTTTTTTTGTGTCATTGTTTGAGAAAGCGCGGGAGAAAAGCGAGATTTATTTTTTTTTCATGATTGTCATATACTTTAACGATTAGTCATATGGAATATATCCATCATTATTATGTAATAACTTTATGATTTTTGACGTATAACAATTGACTCATTCGGAATATCGATAAAAAAAAATCATGTGATATTGATCGATGACAGATCAGTGGCTAAAGAGTTTATACAGTAATTATTATGAAGGGAAAGATATGGGATATTAGATAATTCCCAATGCAGCAATGCAGCAATGCTGATATTATTCGTGATGTGCCGTGTGCGGGGAATTTATTTGGATATATACTTTAATATTTAATATATTCTATAGAAAGAAGATTTTCTAAACAAAATTTGATTAGGACTGTTATTAATAAACTGCTTAATAATAATACATTACACATGCTAATTACTAATATAAATTTGAATACAATACTTCAGTAGTACGACTTCATAAATTGTTGACGTTATCAAATTCTCTTAATGGCGTAAATAGCGTATAACATTTTATTTATTTCTGTTTTAATACCCTCCATTTTTTTTCCTCACGAGAAAAATGTAATTTGTGACTATTTAATTTTCATATTTGTATATAAATTTTTTTGTTTTTCAATTTTCAGTTAATATATTTAAAGGAATGTAATTATCATTTTTCTTTTATTTATGACGATAAATTTCAATTGTTATAAAATTTTGTGGATTATCTACAAAAAAATTAATATTGAAAGTGATATCAATGGTATATCATTTTTTATTACGTTAAAAAAAAATTATTTTTAGTTTTTGTTAAAGCAAATTTGGAAAGTGATCATTTTCATGACGGTATCATATAAAGTACCCATCTCAATCATCTCATCGCGTTGGACTTTTGTTCAATCACGTATAATTGATCACGTGTAATCAATCATGTGCTTAATAAATTGGCTTAACCAAAATAATCGATCAATTAACTCGATCACGAGAACCAATCAATAATCATGATGAAAGTATGATTGTTGATTTTCCCAAAATATTTTGTCAAGGTAAAGAATTATTTCTGAAATTTGAACAATCGAAAAAGAGATTAAATTAATTTTGGAACACAACAAATAACAATGTCACATACACGATTTTATTTTTAATAATTGAAATCATCCAAATTCATTGATATTAAACAAGAGATCTAAGTCTTATATTATAATAAAAAACATCAATAATAATAAAAATATTTGTTACTTCTCATTTTTTATTTCTCACTATTTTCCCGTTTTAAAAATTGATATTAATTATAAAGAAATTAAAATAAAGGAAAGTAAATAAAAGAGAATAATATTAAAAGAATGATGAACTTAATGGAAATTGATTAGAATGAGAAATTAAAGATGAATAAAATAAAAAATAAAACAAAGCTTATTTTAACATACTATAGTAAAGGACGGTCAGATAGAAAATTGTGTTACCTTAAAAAATGAAAATTTTACAATTTATTACGGACAATTGTGACTAAAAGAATCTAAGTCACGTGATTTCACGTTATAAAATTTTCCGCACTTTTTCCTGTTTCACCTTTTTCATAAAAGACTCATAGATTAGAATACCAACTTTTTTTTTTTTTTTTTTTTTTTTTTTTTTTTTNGTAGGGGAGAAAAAGTGGAATATTTATTTTAGGCGTGAGAGCCGTGAGACCATTGTGGATTACCTATATTAGTTATAGCATAGGCCTTTTTCCCTACGTAAATTAGTTTAACAAATTTAGTTAGGTCTCTTTTAAATTTATTTTTAGCTAGGGTAGGGAGTAAGTATTTATTTAATTTATCTTTTTGTTCGATATACTCTGTTATAGGGTTGTCACGTGATTTGCACGGTCGGCTCTAAGTATCTTGTTATTTGGGTTACTTTATTTATTAAATCCTAATACAGTAATAAAGATGCGTTACAGTTTTTTTTTTTTTTTTTAAAAAAAAAAAAAAAAAAAAAAAATTTACAATTTATTAATAAGTTAATTATTAGAGATTTTTTTCTTCATGTTATTAACAATTACATTTTATATTTATTTTATTTTAAGAAACAGTAAAATAAATCGAAATCTCCGAATTGGATGGCTTTATAGGCGTAACGTTTAAAGTTGAAATTCTTTTGCAATCAGTATTGATTAATTGGTACCTTGAAAACTAGTCCACAAAACAATTTGGATGTTTAGGAGATAAACATTCAAATCAATCCATTTTATATTACATACTGTATTATTATTAATTTGCAAAAAAATTTTCATAGTCAATAATCAAGATGAAATCCTTTCATTAGTTTTGTTAAACCTTTTTTTTCTTTTATGCAAAAATTAACAAATTATTCTTTTATGTCCTGGATCAGTGTTTTTTGTGGATAACTGTTCGTGTGGTTAATTGAAAAAATTGCAAGATGCAACAAGTATTTCAGCATTCTTTTTTACGTATATTAGAATAATTTCAATTGTTCAATCAAGATCTTTGTCAATTTATTCTTATTATACTATACTAAACCTGTAAATATTATTGAAATATTCGAATTATTTCCCATTTCCTAATAAAGTTAACATAAATGGTTGACTTGCAAAGACAACGCATATGTTCCTGATATTTTTCATGTGTGTATAGTATAATAACGACTGCTCAATCATGTCTTGATGAGGCGTCAGGATTATTTGACAAGTTACAATTTTTTGCTATCTCTCGGTAAATATCCTAATGACATAAAGAAAAAATATTTTCATCTGGTTCTTAATTTTTTGTCATACTGTAATAATAATAAATACACCACTCCCTAAAGAATATTTGAGGGATTTCTCAGTTATAAGAGATACTATATAAAGGGGGATATCACGACTATCACGTAATCCTATAGCCTCTTAGGTGTTACTCAAAAACCTATTTAATATATCAAAAATAATTCTATTCATCGTATAAGGAAATAAAACATTTCCTAAGCGTTGACTAATAAATTTAATTGATTGATTAAAATATTAAAAAATATTATAAATCATACTAAACTTAAATTGCGTTAATCGTACTGTACAAACATACACAATTTCTAATTTCCATAAGAATGTTTTCAATCCTTATCACGCAAGTCGCTAAGAATGATTGAATACCAACTTATTGAAAGGCGAAGGATGTATATTTGTACCATGGAAGCAAATTTTGATTAATGGTAAACTTACCTTTTAACTTCTACAATAAATAATCCAATTATTACTACCAAGACAATAACCTGAAATATATGCAGTAACTATATAAATTCTACTGAATATGTTAGAGTTATATAACGGAAAGTTACTGGAAATTTATGTATCAGCGAAACTTACTAGATGTTCTCCAAATATTACAGGCCTCTATCAACATAAGATTGAATGTCAGCTATTGAATATAAAGATTTTTCAATCTACAGTGAAAAATATTTGTAGACCCAGGTTGTGATTTAGTTCGACTTTGAAGTACATTATCACTAAAGAAATGCGCAAATTCCTTCATTATCCTTCTATAAAAGAAAAATATGAAATAAAAATAACCAATTATTTAATATTTTAAATTATCTTACCGTTCAAATAAATTGTAGACTCTGTAGCGCAAATCTTTGCTTTGAATATTCGGTAACAGTAAACATATGATTATAATTAATAAATAAATATGAAATCAATACTATTCCAATTGAATGAACTCCATTATCTACACCTCCGCCATCATCATCCAATTTATGACTATTCCTGTCATTTTCTTTATTTTCTGATATCATCATTAGATGATGTATTATCTAAATGATCTTATATATTGGAAGGAACATCGGCGGAAACTGATAATTGTTGTGCTTTTGATCCGATAATATCACGAGGGTAGAGATTCTAAGAAGTATCTAGTCCACAATCTATTAAGAAATCATTAATTTCTTCTTAAGTTATGACTTAACGAACGCTATTTATTAAAAAATGTTCAGTTTAATTAATTAATTTGCCAGTACCAATTTTATTTTGGTACAATTTATAACAGACGAACTTTAAATCTTTTGGGGCAATGTGAAAATCAAAAGCAAAGATCTGATTTTATGTTATTTTTTAACGTAATGAAAATACAGGCGTGTATGCATACTGTCAGTAAATTTTTCCTTTACACATTATATTTTTTTTTGTTTTAAAAAAAAAACCCCCACGATATTCAATTTATCATTTGAATGGGTTACTAAAATAGAAGGTTTTAACCAAAAATAGAAGGATTGACCACGATTATTTATTTTTTTTCGGGCCGTATTATTTCCGATACAATGATCTGCATTACATTTTTACATTGTTTATGGCGTCGTTTTTCTCCGAGGATAAAGCATGTTTTAACTAAAATTTGTTTGCGTTAAATAATAAAATATGCCTATAGAAGAATTTTTTGAAATTTTTTTTTTTCAAATTTAATTAATTTAATTAATATACAAAAATTAGATTACGTAATAGCACATGGGCCAATCTAAAATTTAGGATTCATTTATTGTAACTTTTGACATCTATTTTATCAAAAATGGATTTAATTTATATATTTAACTTTTATTATTTTTTAAGCATATGATACTCACAAATACACAAATAGTATTAAAAAAAGAATTTTTTTTTTTTAAATAAAATTTTCTAAGTATTATTTGTGAGTATAATGAGTAATAACAGGATTCTTAATTTATAATAATCATTGAATTATACTATGTATAGTCAAATTTCTGAGATTATAAAAAAAATTACTATTAAATGTACTGTAATTATTACAAATATTTTAATATAACGATTTTCGTAACACCTATATATTAGGTTTTATTTGTGGAAATATTCAACTCATACCCATTTATTTGTCTACCAATTTCATTGAAGAACATGCTGATAAAAATGTTTCTTATAATCTCAAAAATTAAGCTTGTTTATTTTAATTAACATTTTTTTTATTTAGATTCTACTTAAATATAGCTTTTAATGCTTTTAATTAAAGTTTATTTAAATAATAGGATGTTAAAATACATAAATTGTTTGAAATTTTTGCGTATGTCTTATTATACTAAAACACAGTGAAATTCGACACATCGGACCAATCTGTTTCAATAGAAAAACTTTTTTCAAGAATTTATTATGGAAAACATTATTGATGCAGATCAGTGCATCGGAAAAAATATGACCCGAAAAAATCATTTTTTATTGTAACTTCTACTTTTGGTTAATTATTCCTTTTTAGTAACTCATTCATGGGCATATTGAATAAATAAAAAAAAAATAAACTTTTTTTTTTCAAAAAAATTTTTTTTTTCGATAAAATTAATTTCTAAAATAACCAAATGGGAATTAAGCTTAGTAATTTAAATATTTCGAATAAAGATAATGGTACAATAATTACCAAAAATTGTTGTAAACCATTTACTGAAGAATTACGGTGTGAAGAATATATTAATTCTTTAGAAAGATCAGCAGAAAATGGTGATAAAGTAGCAATGTTTAATTTAGCCATATGCTATAAAAATGGAGAAGTAACAGAAAAGAATTTAGAAAAAGCCTTCCATTGGTATCAAAAAGCAGCAGAAAAAGATAATATTAAAGCAATGAATAGTTTAGCTATATGCTATGAAAATGGAAAAAAGAATTTAGAAAAAGCCTTTCATTGGTATCAAAAAGCAGTAGAAAATGGTAATAAAGTAGCAATGTTTAATTTAGCAAATAGATATTATAATGGAGAAGGAACAGAAAAGAATTTAGAAAAAGCCTTTTATTGGTATCAAAAAGCAGCAAAAAATGGTTGCACTGATGCAATGTATAATTTGGCCATATTTTATAAAAATGGAGAAGGAACAGAAAAGAATTTAGAAAAAGCCTTTTATTGGTATCAAAAAGCAGTTCAAAATGGTTGCACTTATGCAATAAATAATATGGCCATATGTTATAAAAATGGAGAAGGAACAGAAAAGAATTTAGAAAAAGCCTTTTATTGGCATCAAAAAGCAGCAGAAAGAGATCATAATATTGCAATGTTTAATTTAGCTAATCATTATTATAATGGAGAAGGAACAGAAAAGAATTTAGAAAAAGCCTTTTATTGGTATCAAAAAGCAGC